CCCCCACCCCCACCCCCACAGTCCATTTTGCTATGCAACACTTATTCTGGGCTGTTGTTAGGCAATGAATACTTAATAATGTATTACTTTTAGACAGTTCTTCCCCTCATTGATTTAAATGCTGGGTACATTATTTATTCCCTCTTTTCTTGGTTTTCCCCTAGCCCCCTGTCAGTCCCATTTTACAACATTGGCTCTATGCAGTATTTGTCCTTTTGTGATGGGGATATTTCACTCAGCATAGTGTCCCCCAGGGTCACCCATTTTGTATAATAATTTCATGAGTTTCTTGGTTTTCAATGCAGCGTAGTATTCCATTGTGTGAATATACCACAGCTTCTCTATCTGTTCATTTGTTGATGGCCACTTCGGTTATTTCCAGCTCTTTGCTACTGCGAACAAAGCCGCGATAAACGTGGGTGTGCATCTATCTGCTTGGGTGGCGGTTGTTCTGGTTTCTTTAGGGTATATTCCCAGTGGTGGACTGCTGGGTCAAATGGTATTTCAATTTCCAACTTTTTGATAAAGTACCACACAGCCTTCGACAGTGGTTGCACCATTTTGCACTCCCACCAACAGTGAATAAGGATTCCAGTTTCTCCACAACCTCGCCAGCATTTGATGTTTGCTGTTCTGTTAAATTTTGCTCTTCTGACTGGGGTGAGATGATATCTCAGAGTTGGTTTTCTTTGCATCTCTCTTAGAGCGACAGATTTGGAACATGTCTCCATGTGTTTGTTTGCCATCTGAGTTTCTTCTTTGGTGAGGGGTCCGTTCATCTCCTGTGTCCATTTTGCAAGTGGGTTGTTGACCTTTCTCTTGTTGAGGTGTCAGCCCTGATTCATAACCTAACATTGTCAAACCCCACCCCCTAATCCCCACCCCTTTGAAGGCCATGGCTGCATGTGCTATGTCTGTCCATCCCACTCTGGGTTTTCCTCTCCTCCGATGACTCCCTACTTTCTCCAGCAAGATGTTCTTCTCCAGGGTCCTCATAGAGTCTCCTTGTTGCTATGGGCCTTTGTGTGACAAGAAACCCATAGCTGACCAAGACTCTGAAAGGGAGAAAAGTCTACACTCAGGAAAGAGAAGTGGACAGAGATATGGGCACCTCAGGTCCACCAGGAACTAAGAGCCAGGACTGAGTGTGTCCTAGGGCTCTGGTCCCTCTGCTGAGAACTCGTTAGATGCACACACAGACACACAGAGAGCTTTCTCCTACAATTGGTACCTTCACTTCAGACAAAAGCCTCCTAAATGGTGCTATAATACATTTCTGTTTGCATAAGCGACTCCCTTGTGATAACTCTGGAGAATTGAGACAGACACCTCGTTGAGACATAGCGTGAGATACAATTGTGTCTTACACAATGAGAAAATAATATTTCTGTTTGTGAAACTCACCCTGTTTTGGTGTATCTGTGACTGCGGCTCTGGAGAACAGAATCAGAGGAAGAGTTAAGCCAGAATGAGTTGGAATTGTGTCCTCAACTTTGAGAAAAACATACTTCTGTTTGTGAAACTCACCCCCTTCTGGTCTCCATGATGACAGCCCCAGAAAACTGCGACAGACATGCAAAACCAGAATGAAATTGGGTTGTGTCCTAAACTTTAAGAAAATGTACTTTTTTGTTTTTTGTTTGTTCTTTTTGAGAAAATGTATTTTTGTTGGTGAAAGCCACCCCTTTGTGATAGCTCTGTGATTGCAGCCATTGAGACCTGGGAAAGATGTGTAATAGAACCAGAGTGAGGTTACATTATGTTTCTTATAAAATAGGCATCAGCTTGGTGGAGACATGATTTTCTTAAGCAGGGAGGTAGTGAGGTCAGGTGGCAGTCATAGGATAATGCCATCATCTCCCACGATGTGAAACAACATAGAATTGGTCAATCAGTTGTAAAAGGATTCCAATGGGATTCACCAACCCTGACTCCATCACAGCTCTGATCAGATGTCAGGGCGATTTTACCAGATTCTACCATCTATATTTTCTTTCATTTCTGCTTCTGTAAAGATTCACAACCTCAGAGACCCTATGGGACAGCTCTGCTCTGTCCTTGCAGGGTTGCTGGGAAATTGAATCTGCTTGCTGCCAGTGGGTTTGGGTTTAACGTGTGTTTGTGGTGTTTTCTGTCTTCCCAGATCCTCCCTGCATTCCTGCAGCTGGATCCATGGGGACCCAGGGAAGAGTTGTGCTGTTTTCACTATTCCTGACCAGGACCGGGCTGCTGGCCCTCGGCCCCCAGGGTAAGCATGGCCATCCACTTGACCCTCTCCAGTGCCTTATGTTAACATGCCCCTCGGGACTGCAGGCCTAGCTGGAGCTGTCATCCTATATTTATTCTTTACTAAGAGACCATTATGAAGCTGTGCTGATGTAGCCACGTAGGCATTGAGTTGTCAAGAGAAAGGTTGGGAGTTCAAACCCACCAGAAGCTCTGAGGGTCAAAGAATAGAGAGTGGATCCCCTATAAAAATTTACAGCCTTGGGAGCTCTGGTGGCCTAGTGGCAAGACGCTGCACTGCAATCCCAGAGGTACACGGTTCAAATCCACCAGATGCTCTGCTGGAGAAGGAGGAGGCAATCTCCTCCTATACCAGTCAGATCTGATTTGATGGTACACGTAAAAATAATACAATAAAAAAATAAAAAAATTTACAGCCTCAAAACAAAATAAATAAAATTTAAAAAAATAAAATTTACAGCCTCAGAAACCCAACCGGGAGACTTCAATTACTGCCAGACTGAGTTGGTTACTTTATGTTTTAATAGTATTCATGTCATGATTGTATTATTTTGTCTAAGCGGGATAATTATTAGGATGGAGTTGAGTTAGGTGGGTAAGCTGACTTGGTAACCGGCTCTCTGCTGGTTCAAATCCCGCAGTTGCTCTAAGGGAGAAAGATAGGCCATCTCTTCCCATGCAATTCACAGCCTCTGGCAACCCACTGGGAACCCCATCTCTGTCTGGAGTGATTTTTAAATCAATTCTTGTCCATACATCAACCCAAAGTCCCACATCCTTGGTGAATTCTGACTCAGGATGAAAGTCCATTGGAGGAAAATTTTTCTCTTGTTCAAAAAAATTTATTTTATTACTATTGTGTGTGTACCGTCCAATCAGATCTGACTAGTCCAGGAGGAGATTGTCCCTCCTTCTCCAGCAAAGCATCTGGTGGATTCGAACTGCACACCTCTGGGTTAATATAACTCTTGTATCCCTTGACAGATGGAAGTTCACGTGACTTGGTGGTTGGTGGTGTTGTTCAGTGCTATCAAGTTACTTGCGACTCACAGTGACCCAATGTACAACTGCTCTGATCCCTGCCCAGTCCTGAGCCAAGTTCACTGTCTCTGACACACCTGCCCCCATTGCCCCAGTCACTGAATCAATCCATCTCATTGATGGTCTTCCTCTCTTGCCCTGCCCCTCCATCCTCTCAAGCATGATGTCCCTCTCCAAGGACTGATCCCTCCTTGCAACATGTCCAAAGTATGTCAGACGAAGCTTCAGAATCCTTGTCTCCAAGGAACGGCCTGGTTTCACCCTCTCTAGGACAAATCTGTTTGTTTTCTTGGCAGTCCATGGTTTATTCCATACTCTTCTCCAGCACCACAGTTCAAAGGCATAAATTCTTCTTCTATCCTCCTTAGTCATAGTCCAGCTCTCTGATGCATAGCACGCAATTGCAAAGACCATGGCCTGGATCAGGCACACCTTAGTCTCTAGAGTGACTGCGTTGTTAAGAGACATCTAATAAAGTTGGGGCATCCAGGTGGATTTCAACATAAACAAAAACAAAAATAAAAACAAAAACAAAAAAACCCAGCAAACCTCATTTCCATCAAGTTGGAACTGACTCATAACTGACCCTCCAGTGGGTTTTCAGAAGCCATAAATTTGACAGGAGGAGACGGTCTTATCTTTTCCCAAGAAGCAACTGGTGGCTTTGAACTACCAAAGAAGGACCACTTCGGGGTTAGCCGTTCACCTCTCTATGCAATCATAATAATGACTCTGGTTGAATGTAATCTTTTTGTCCTGTGTTCTCCAGTCACAACTGGCCCCTAGCCGTCCCTTCAACTGGTTTTTTGAGGCAGTAAATCTCTCAGGAAGAGGTTGTCCATCCTTTTCCCGCAGAGCAGATGGTCAGTTACAAACCTGATCACATCATCACATTAATGCTATTATATTCCCATGGGGGTCCAGGGAGGTGTCCAATATTTGCCTAGAGAGTTGTGTCTGTCTCAGGGAGAGAGGGGATTGGGGGAGTGTTACCTGGTTCCACGGGGGGGACCTTTCCAGATCTTTCCACAGTGGAGCCAGTGCCCACACTAAACCTGAGTTTTGACGCGAGAACGTGGACATTAGCCTGGGTGTGTGTGGACAACATCACAGTCCTGAATTGCACCATGTTGCACAGAGAATACGGACCAGTGACTGAGAAGGTGAGGCCATGCTTTCTTCCAGGCTTTTCTCATGGTTAGCTCTGTGCAGGCCCCTGGGTGGGTAGGGGACAGCGGTGGCAGAGAGAGATGCTAGGGAGGTGGGAGTGGGTGCTCTGTGTGTGTGTGTGGAGCCGGGATGAAGGCAGGTGAATTCCTGCCCTGAGAGAGAGGGACCGTAGGACCACAGGTACACCTGGTCAGTTCACAGTGCTGGGCAGTGGGGAGAGGGCGACCCACACCATGGCTAGAGGTGGAACCATCTCCCACACCCTTAGAGACTTCAAGTCGAAGGTGGAGGGGAGGGGGCTATGAAAGGAAGGATGGGGTTGCTGTGGAAGTAGAGAGAAAAAGAGGATGGAGAGAGGACACAGGAGAAAAAGAGGGAGAGAGGGAAAGGGAGAGGGAGTGAAAAAGAGAATGAGACAGAGCAAGAGAGAGAAAGAGAGAGGAAGAGGGGGGAGAGAGAGAGAGAAGAGATACTTCAAGAGTGAAATATGGAGACAGAGACACAGAGGGTGTTAGAAATACAGAAGAGAGGGACATGGGTAGAGTGAAGGAGACAGAACAGAGAGTGAGGGGGAGAGAGAGGAGAGAGAGAGAAGAGAAGAGAAGAGAAGAG